TGCCGTGTTGCCAAAGAGCAAAGTAATCCTCCATTTAGCTAAGTATAACACTGGAACTAGGAGTGGCTATTGAAGCACACACTTTTCTATTTGAGCTATGCAGTTATTAGCTAAAATAGAGGCTCAACAAGATCCCATAGCCAAACCCCGTGTTTGTCCATACCACTTATCATTCATGATCAAATGGATTAATTTAATGAATGAATCTTTGCCTAACTTCTTACCTGTTATGATACCAGAGTGTTGATCTAGATTTGCCTCTAAGCCCTTCATTGTCCCGTTTATCGGAATATTAGTACTACATCGAAACTTACCAGCAAATCTCTTATTCCTATTGCCAGATCACTTAGTAACTTAATAAAATCGTAAGAATTTCTTATAGAAAACTACAGCTTCGGAACTTTGCATTGACTAGGGATAAATAAATTTTTGATATTTTACTCATTAGACTACCTCTTTTATTTAAAATAATCCCAAATTAGCTACCTTTTTTATGAATTTGGAGCAGACTATACGCTCTTTGGTGTTAAAATGAGTTCATTCTCCACTTTTCCTATTCCATTCTGCTTACAAGTTGCTGCAGAAAACCGTTAAGCATAACCTTCACCCAATACTTTCACTCGAAATTGAAGTAAGCACAACAATTATGAAACAATAGATTCCTCGAAACCCAACTTTTCTTGGCATATAACCTTGAGGTATTCTAGCTGGTCCATAATTATAGTTTTATATGATGCTCTAGCGCAAACCCTAGTCATAACTACTACTGCTCCTTCTGTCTGCCCTTAACACTAATTGGTGATTTGGATGGATCTAAAACTTTCTGGAATCTGCTCTTCCTCTCTTTCTCAGCATGTTTATTTCTTATCTGCCGAAAAACCTTGTCATACAACCCAACTACTATTCTGTGGAGTTTAAGGAAGGTTTCCAAACTAAGAGCCCCGCATAAGACTCGCCTGAGTCTGATCCTAATTATAATTATTAAATGCAATGTTGCCGTGTTGTCCTTAAGCCTAATATCAACCAAATCATCGTATGTGCCCCAAAGATCAGCTTTGATGTTGCAGGATAATTTTTTTCTAGAATAACACAAATTCAACGTCAAAAGCAAGCTTTGAAAAGCTAATGTAATTGAATTATCTGTATAACAATTTTTTTCGTTTTTGTATATAATGACAAATTCCAGATTGTTCCCGTTTTAAAATGCTTTGAATGTCATATTCTGATTGGTTCAATAAGGAAACTTTAGGCTGCGGATGTTTGCTTGGTCGCCGCGGTCTAGAATGAGGATGAGTCACGTGTATGATGAGAGTTACTGCTTACTGTATGATTATGATGGTAATTGTAATGATAATATGCAGAAAGCGATTTACTGTGAGAAGATATATGGCTGAGTATAAGTCACTATAACATATTTATCGCCCAAGGATTACAAGGATAAACCAAGGTAATAAATGTGATCAATTGCTTACCTCTGAAAAAATTATATTTCATTAGAAAGGAATTAGCTAACGAAGAATTAAGAATAATCAACTATTAGAAATGAGAAAGAGCCATTGATCCTGAGCTAAGGCATCTAGGGCTTACTGTTCCAATAAAGCTTAAACGAGGAATATGCCATCGTTATGAGCCTAATAAGATCCCCAAACTCTTTTGAAATAAATCTAATTGATAAGCTTTAGCTGCATAACTGTTTTAGAAAGAATCACATAAAAAGTGATACCGGGGAGTGCGGTTTGACTACTAAAATAAGTTTCCAAGCCCTATTTACAACTTACCCAATCATATGGTCACATGAGGTAAATAAAAATTTCAGTTCCAGATCCAACGAAAAAATAAGGACAAAAAGGAAAGAAGGACAAAGAGTCTACGTGATCACATAAGGGAAAGAAAGCGAGTAGAGATGAAAGAAAAATGACGATAAAAATGAATGGTTGTGACCACAAGAGTGTGACTTAGATGACCCCACTTGGTAAGCAAAAACTAAGGAAAAATTTGTCAAGATGGCTTACACCAACCGGAGTATTCTGATGATTATATTGACTAAAGCGTTACCATAACTGCTATTGCCTCTAAGACTGGTGAATGGAGTGTGCTAATGCCCCTAGACTGTGCGGCTATCAGTGCCCAAGAGTTTGTTAATCATATGAGAAAAATTCAACTAGTAGGACAGGATTTAGAAGACCGAAAAGGCCGAAAAGGCCAAGAATCTATATTTTTATGAAGACTGGGAAGCACGAGAGAAATGGCTCAACCAGACCTCACATTAATATTTTTGTATACTTTCTAGCCTATTCTTCGACTGGAATGTCCGGAAGATGAAATGATTGTGAAAATATGTATACAGGAGTACCCGCTCCGCAAGTTAAATGCGCAAAGTTATACGTAAGGAAACGACATAAAGTAAAAGCAGAAAAAAAACTATCATTAAAATCGTATTAAATTTGATAATTATTTTTAAATAAGAAAGAACATATGTCGTGCTTGAAAAGATTGCTATTATGATGTGGATTAGTGATACAAATGTACTATTTTGCCCGGTATTGTATAAGCCTTAATAATACAAAGGGAAGGAAAAACTTAATGAAGTGATATAATTGTGAGAAAATATGTAGAATAGTCCACACTTGAGAATCAGCAAGGGAAACCCAAGGCAGGAGGTATAATTAAGCCATGAGTAAGCGAGTTGATCATACTACTCTTGTCATATTTGTAAGTCTTATACAACTTTATGCCCCTGCATACTAATGGGGATATGGGCCATTTTATTGGATAATTCCTACGTTAGGCGCAGAAAAGACAGCAAAGCCAGAATAAATACAAAATATAGGCTTTGAACTTGTTTTCAAATTTTAAGACATAATCATTAGTACTTTGTGTTTTAAACTCACCCTCCAGAAGCCAGGCTGTCAAATGAATTTGCAGCAGGACAGGGAGTTCGGGAGGCTTGGCTTGAACTTACTGAAGTACTGCTGGCACTCGTCCTACCACCAGGCTTCCCAGCCTGCTCGGGCAGATACATATTGCCATTGCCTGTCCCACTATTAGTAGTGATGCCAGTTGTGGTGTTAATACCACTGGTACTGCTACTACTGCTACGGCTAGTGCTTGTGCCACTCACCCGTCCTCCGCCAGTGCCTGTAGATTGTCCACAGCTTGATTCGCCATTGGAGGTGGGCGAAATAGGAATGATTTTGCTGGTTACTACTCCGGAACCGGATAGGCTTACGCTAGTTGACCGAATGCTAGAGGCCTCAGTTGGAGAAGCTGGTGTATCAGTTTGCGCCTTGATCATCTATGAAGTAGCAAGAAATAGCATTAAAATATTCAAGAAAAGAAGTAGAGCAGATGAACGAAAGTAAGATTAAGTAAGTGCCCTCTTCAAGCTTACAGAATTACAAGCTAGCTTACCTTAAGTCAAAATGAAAAGCTTATTGGCAATTTGTTTATGCCTAACTCAAATGCATGAGATGAAGAAATCATGATAAAAGACTCGCATGCTAATTAACTCAAAGCGAAAATGCATTTAAAAAAGTAACACTAACTACGATTCTGTAGGTATATAGCAAAATAAAAATTAAAAGCACAGGTCACAAAGGTGTATAGTATAAAAATCAAGGAATTTGGAATAAGCAGAAAGAGTAATACAAAGGCTTTAATGATCCCATAATTATCTGGGAATATTGTCCCCAAAGGGAATATAAACTGATTTCGATTAAGGAATCCAGCCGAATTATTGTGGAAAGGAAAACTCATAAACTTGAATAAAAAACAAATGTAACCAAATAGCAGTTTCAAGTACAGTAAGCCGGTGGTAAATTGCACCGAGATAAGACTCGAATTTAAATCTTTGTAAATACTCGATCGTTAATACTATTATTTCGTATGTATCTCAGGTAAATCCTGAAATGTCAATTATATAACAATTAAAGTAGTGGCAAAGGTATGTATTATTATTCGAGGAACCAAAAGGGCATAATAGAAATTATATGGCATGATTTGTATATTACTAAAAGTAACATGAATTGAAAAAGATATTTTGCACGGTCACCAGAAAAAATTTGTTCACATTTTACTGGGGTAGAAATGAGCAAAGATAAAAAAAGGTATGAAGGTGTGGCCTTTTGTGTGATCTCAGTCTCCTTTCGTTTTATAAAGGTTGTTTGACCTTGTTTTCGCAACTTGGTTATATTGGTAGGGAGACTTAGAGGAATGCATCTAGTTTGGAGTCCATAGTATGCATGATAATTACCAAAGTCGGACAGTGGATGTGGTACATTCCAAGACAGTGGGTCGGCATCGTCAGTGGGTCTCGACAGTCTTAGCACCATACAACAACTCGTCAAAGATACAAGTGAAGCCAATCCTTTGAACAAACGTGTACTAAACAGTTGTAGTATCTCCCATTCTGCCCTGGCGGATTCACATTTCCTATATCGTCCTATCACGCCTCCACTGCTACAATTTTACCCGTGCTTATTTCGATGTAGTGTGGTGTGCTCCTTTAAACGGTATTAATGAAAACCCTTCACACTCCATGCTTTTGTTCCCACCCTTTCATCTTTGTGCTGGGAATGTTGATCAGAGTCTGCCATATTGTTACACAATCTTCCTTCCATAGGTCTTATCACAGTATCTCTCTTTTCCCGTAAGATCCGTCCGCTATATCCCTGGTTCACGTATTTTACTTGACCCCTGCCACCCCATCTGTGATACTCGAGACGTTACTACCACTACCATGCGTCTGGGTGTCTAATTCGAGGCTAAAGCCTCTGAGTATGTCTCATGGTCACGCCTTTGCTACATTGGACCACGTCTCTGGTAAAACCTACTGTCATCCAACAAGCTCCAATCTCCTCCGCGTCTATCCTGCTTCTATCCCTAATACCAAGTATATGACTTCCTATGCCTTAGTCTCGTGTATGCCAACCCACAAACGTTGTGGTTCAACATTGAACATAATCAAAGCAAGCCGTACCACAACATTTGTGGGTT